CGTGACTTTACCGAAAGAACCATGAATATGAATCCCTGCAGTCACGAAAGCTTTAAATCAAAATTATGACAGTTTGATGTGGAAAAACATATATGGTGACATTGTCAGCTTATCTTTTGTCTACGTATATTTTCCGCCATGACAACCAGTATTATTTTGTGTTATGTGTAAAATAAACAACAGGCTAACGTTTTAGGGCAATTGCCCTCCTTCAGAGGAGAGAGAGGAGTGAGAGATTGACTTTCTAGTTGGAGATTGCAGCCCACTTCAAACTGATTCTCGGAGAAAACTGTAAAATAATTGACAAATTATCAATATTGAATTGACATGAATAGTTTACCATGACAGTCATAGACATCTAGTAGCAAACAAACCATTATATTTTTTTAAGGGTTCTTATGTATCATAGCATTTCAATGACAAGTGTAATGTAATACAGTATTAGCGGTATATTTTAGGTCAATTTACAATGTGTTGAATACCAAACACCAGAGCTTACTTTGAAACACAGGATCGTCTTAAACTGGGACATGCTGGACAGTCGAATCAGCTTGAAGAAGAGACACCCACCGGTGGTGATTTCACGAATTCGGTGCGAAAGAAGCTCAACATACAATTCAGCAACTGCATCTGCTGTTGAGCAACTGTGCAGCCCAGACACAGGAGGCATTCATGGTTTGCAGGAAGCACCAACAAACCTCCCACTTGTTTTTTTTGTCACTGATCTGCCATGGCGCAATGATGAGCACCATTGACTTAAAATCCAGAGGTGACCGATTCGATTATTTTCCGGGCATGGCAGTTCAAACTATAAAAATAAGTATAACCCGTAAAAACAAAGTTTTTCACTATAAATCCTTTATATGCGTGGCGGCTAGAGTCCTCTCGTCCTCTGGCTTGAGATGGCTGCCACCTATGGGTCAGATGATTGTCTGCCAGTATTAAGCAATTGGTAATTAAATATTTAATTTGTTTTCCCTAAACAGTGTAAAATTTTGGAAAAAAAAATCACGAACATTAATTGTCTCGCACAACGAGTCTGTGTGCAAAATGTCAGCTCGATTGGATCACGGGAAGTGGGTTAAAAAAACGACCGAAAGATTTGCACGGTCGAAAGCAAGCAAGCAAGCACGCAAGTACGCAAGCAAGCAAGCGAACTTAATATAAAGGATTTAAAAACATTTCATCACCCTTCCCCCCAATGTCTGTCCGGCCGGCAGTATAAATGGGTACACCACAAATTAGGTCGATCGGTTGGTTGTGTCTACTGTAGTTGGTTCAACTGTGGATACTCCCATTTCTTCCACTTCGTCTGGCAGGGGGAGAGCATTCTTGAAATGTCCACTCATCTGAGACAGCACCTCCAGGGTATGGTCAGGACTGCAAATGGCAATGCTTTTCCTCTCGAAAAGCTGTGGCATGGCAAGTATAGGCCGCAATTATAATAAGCATACCTATCCCCACCCATGAGTTAACGACCTCAGGGTTGCAATGATTGTGACAATCTTTAAAGAGATTAATACGATTGTGGAAATTGCAGGGGGATCGGCTTGCAGGAAAGATCATTGCAAGAACTTTCCTGAAACGTCTTATGCCAATTGCTGACAAACTCCTCCCAGAATCCCGATGTAGGTTCACGCTATCGAGAGGCACAACTGACATGATGTTCACTGCCCGTCAACTGCAGGAAAAACGTCAGGAACAACACAAACCTCTCCACATGGCCTTCTATGACCTCACAAAAGCCTTTCTTCTTCTTTCACGCGTTTGTCCCACTCATGTGAGGTCCGCTGTCCTTGCCAACCTTCTCCACACAGCCCTGTCCTGCGCCATCTCTCTTTCCACTCCTCGGGCCACCCGATCGCACCACATCGCCACCACCACCTCTTGTTCTGCCTTCCTCCTGATCTCTTTCCTTCCACTTGCATTACTTGCCACCTTCTGACCCACATCATTTTCCTGCTGTCTCTCCACATGACTCAATCACACCAGCCTTTCTCTCTCATCTTGTCTGTGATTTCTACCACCTTGAGTCTTCCTTTCACTTATTCATTTCTCACCCTGTCGTTCCTTGTTGAACCCAAGATCCACCGCAACATCTGCATCTCTGTGACTGCCATAGCTTGGTCCTCCCTCTTTCTTGTGCCCCATACAACAGCACCAGCCTCACCACCATCTTGTACTATACACTACACTATACACTACACACTTTTCCCTTCAACCAAACTGGGACCATCTTATCGCACACCACACCAGTCATCTCTCACCATTTTAGCCATCCAGCCCTTGTTCTTATCTATCCTTCTAGTGATCCATCAGTACAAATCGTTGCACCCAGGTACTTAAACTCGTACGTCTTCATTAACTGGTTACTTTCAATTTGCAATCCTCCTGCAATATTTCCACTGAAATTTGCCACCATATACTCAGTCTTTGTCCGACTAATCCTCAACCCATTCCCTTCAATCTTTTTTCACCAAGATCTTCAAATCATCTTCCACTACCCCTCTGCTTTCACCGCATAACACAATGTCGTCTGCAAACAGCATACACCAGGGGGGCTCCCTCTGAATGTCTCTCGGTTGGTTGTCCAGCACCAGGATGAACAGGAAGGGACTCAGGGCACAACCTTGCTTCTCCGCTTTGACTTGAAAGCCCTCCGACACTCCGCAGCTGCTTCGCACGTGCATTTTCCCTCCTTCATACATATCCTGGATTAGCCGGACATGTACCTCAGGAATACCTCTTCTTCGCATACACCACCAGATGAGCTCTCTAGCCACCCTGTCGTACGCTTTCTCTAGATCCATAAAACCATATGTAGGTCCCGTTTCTTCTCTCTGAATTTCTCCATCAATACTCTCAGTGCAAAGATGGCATCCATTGTTGACCTTCCCTATCTGAATCTAAACTGACTCTCGCCAATATCCACCAGCTTCCTCAGTTTCCTTTCTATGATCCTTTCCAGAGTTTCATGGTGTGACTCATCAATGCTATTCCTCTGTAGTTCCCACACTCTTGTACATCGCCTTTCCCTTTAAAGATGGGAACCAATGTACTCTCTCTCCACGAATCCAGCATTTTCTTCTCCATCCAGATTTTCCCAAACAGCCCCATCAGTATTTCAATACCCCATTAATGTAAACACATCAATTGGAACCTCATCTGGCCCCACTGCCTTTTGATGTTTCATGCTCCCCAGAGCCTCCACCACCTCTTCTTTGGTTATAGTATCTGGTTATAGTATCTGCTATTTAACAGTATCACCAAATGCTCTACTGCAGTATTCATTATTATACTGTACTTAAACAAATGCAATTCTTCATCGGGAGGTAAGGTTGTATTTCGACTACACATAAAAAAATGGATAACACTAGTGTGTAACTGCTACACGAAAAAGGTGACACTGAATTAGCAGTAGCACTGAGTTGTCTTCATTCCAAAGGTCCTCTTAAACAAATCCGCAAATTACCTAAAGGACCACTTAGTTTCTCTAGAAAATACCTGGAACATCAAATTGTAGTTATGCTACCAATGACCTCAAATGCCATGTATTTCCCCTGCAGGAAAAAGAGTAGACTGTTCTTGACATTATTATTGCAACATTGTATTGCAATGGGGAAAGATATCCATTTTATTTTAACAAGGCTTAGAAAATAACTCTATATTTCGGCGTCTCAAATACACGTAGGAATTTGCTTCAAGGGAGGATAGCTTGAATCCAACAGTGGCAATTTTATAATGGCATTATCTAAATACACCCATTCCACGGAGTGCGTTGAAGTTGAAACACGTGACATATGGGAAATGTTAATCTGTTCGTCTCACATTAGCAATTAAATTACATTCCAGCAAGAGCCAGGGAATTACATCCCAAATTAGAATATTAGTCAATCATACTCCAACAGTTCGTTCTTGTAAACAAGCAAGACCATTTTGTAAACAATTTAAGTGCTACCCTCGACCTTAGCACGCAAAAATAAACTCAAGCTCAAAACAAAGAGGTCAAATTAGAAGCGCTGCCAAACATCACTGATGACTGTGCACAGCTGGTTTGTTTTATTGGCTATCAAGTGGTCACACGAAGGCTTATTTTATTTACATGTTCAAGCTGGAGGTCCAGCTTGTACATGTACGTATTTTTTATCAAAATGTAGGATTTAGCTGTTGTGCTGTCAAGCTTTCGGCTGTTTCCAGATGTATGGTATGACCTTTACCAAAAATACACGTAGAACAACCAGAAAACATACCAGTCAGTTTTCCTTTTACACTAATTGCTTCATGAAATAACAAGTTAGGCTGCCCTCTCCTGGTTAAACGTACAGGTCGCCAAAGTTGAATGCGGTTTGACGTTTGAAAACAATAACAAAAAACAAGCATTCCCCAAATGCCGAGTGTACAATCAGTACAAAATTACCCGTATTCAGTAAAATCCTGCATCACCTTCTATGACTAATCCAGGAATATAAAATGTCTGCCCAAAATAAAATTACAGTATTAGAATCTGGACCATGCTTATATCTCCATCACGAAGACTTGCTTTATAGGCAAGCATAATTGTACTACAGTATATATGGTGCTGCGATGCGACATTGTGGGCAATAGGAGGTAGTGCAGCAAATCCTACTGTTGTAGCGTATTATGGTCCCACATCTACGCTCCCCACCTTCACCAACCCATACTGACTCGGATAGTAAAATATGGTTTAGAAAAAAAAGACAGACATTGCATGGGGGTGGCCTTCATACAATCGTGGGTAGAACATAAAAAAAATACAAATTACAAATGCATATACTGTATAGGTTTTTTTTATTATAATTTGTCATTGTATATGTGAAGGCAGTACAATGCAATCGGCACATATATTTATTGATGCTCAGTTATACATGTGCAGTAATTGATAACAGTCATCAGACATGTTTAAAACAAAAACTTTATTCCTTGAATATTTATGCAAGCCCCCTTGAAAGAAATATATCTTCCTTGCCAGTAACAATCTCTCACCCCGACCAATCAAGTCAACAATCCAACAAACAAGAAGAGACATACCCCAACTCTTTGGTCATTTTGTACAAGCTCCCAACACTAATTAAATATTACCAAAAATAGCTATTTCTTCTCTCTACTGAGAACGTTCTTCACAGGAAGACGGTGGGGGGTAGCAGTTAGCCAGGCGGCCACAGCATCTGACGGCCACCAATAACGTGCACGTGCAGGTGATAGACAGACTGAGATCCATCCGGTCCATCGTTGATCACTGAGAGATAATCCACACACACACACAAGACTGATCCTTTACCATATTCATAAACATATACACACACGTAAACATACATCAGTTGACAAGTAAAACTATTCACCGCCACAGCGATTCGATTAATTCGATGCACGCATCGTTGGCCTGATAATTAATTGTAATCAGATTTAATATATAGTAGGGGTGTAATAATGGATTAATTCATAATTAATACCAATAGCTAAGATCACAATACACCAATCAAAGCACATGTGTAAAAATCGATTATTTGATATTAATATATATACAGTATGTTTCAGGATCACATAGTTCTTCCAACCACTTGATGCTGCTGCAACTAATGTTCAAAAAGGAAATTATTTAGTTGAATTAGAATCCTGAATAGTGAGAAATCATTGCATCACGAGCAGGGCAATTGTTATACCCCCAAAATAGAGTACAGTATTTTGCAAGTACACATGGGAATATACGTATCAAAGATGTAAAGAGAATGGTACACTGAAAGCATAAACATTCAGGGGAAGTATTTCAGCAGCATTAAAAGGTTTCATTCAACTAAGTGCCATTGACTAGAAATATTTTACAAGAAGAAAAGAATAAAACCCATCTATGCTAATCACATGAATGTTCAACTGTATGGGCCTGGTAATGATCTCACACAGCAGCTGCAAAAGAAAATATTTCTAACAAAACACTTAAGTTCCACAATTATACCCCAGAAGGTCATTTTCATAACTGATGGAAACCATGTACTTTTATGGTAATGAGTTGAAATAATTTGTATTTGTTGATGTATGAAATGTGTCTTTACTCACCAACTCTGTACCCATTATCCAGCCTTTCCTTCTTTGCAAGGGTTTTTGCAATGAAGAGAAGATGGCCCAAAAGCTGCAAGAGACAGATATAACAGGGGCAGTTCAATTTTGACTTAAAACTTTCGTGACTGCAGGAATTCATATTCTATGGTTCTTTCGGTAAAGTTACGTAGAAAAAAAAAAGTATTCACCTTATTTTTATAATTTTATTATAATATTTTTTCTATGTGACTTTACCGAAAGAACCATAGAATATAACAGGGGCATCTTCATTTGTGCAGAGGTTAGCACAGCACACTCTGAACCGAGGCACCCGAGTTAAATTCCCGGCCAAGAATAATATCAGTGGCAAGTGATATTTAAACCGATCCTGGGCCCTGTTAGTGGTCCTATCCAATTCCCATATATATCTTTCTGTTGATAAAATATTAAGTGACGCTGCTATTTGTGTGGGGTTAGGGTTTTGCATTAGAGGTTACAGTTTAGGGTGAGGATAGGCTGGGAGTCAATGGTTATGATCAGGGGTTAGGTGTTAACGTTAGGTTTTAGATGTTGTGGTTAGGATCAGTAGTGCCTCGTGAATGCTTCTCTTAGCCCGAATGTGTGGCGAAATTAGTCTTGACAAAAATACACAGGCAATACATGACCTCATTTAATAGTTTGCACAAGATAAATGGTGAGAGACCTGGGTGTCTTGGCTCTGTGCCTGGCTGATGCGGGGAATGCGCAGCTTGGGGATGACGAGGAAATGTGTGGGAGCCTGCGGGCTGATGTCGCGAAACGCCAGACACTGCATTCACCAACAGGACATTTATAAGTCAATGCATTGACAGTACAGCAGCAAACAAAATATATGTAGCAAACATATCAGAATGTATACATATTTCTCTTCCACACCAGTTGCACTCTTGTTATATGGCCCCACAGATTGTGCATCATCTATCTATCAAACCAACTTTCTTAATTCGCAGAGCTGTGACCATCTGAATTACGGGAAACACACACATTTAATACAATATTTTTTTACACGTGTAGTGGGTAGAAACTAGAGGGAGACTTCTCTTTAGAGGCAACACGTTTATTTTACAAGTAACAATACAGAACATGAAGAGGTACGGCCCCTTCCACCCGCTACACTAGGGAGGTACGTCCTCCTCACTGGCGTGCCCTATACACTCGGGACCAATCTCTATAGAGTCCTCCACTATCAGGGTCTAGGAAGGCTACACTGACCCGACCCAGCCAAGGCCCTCGGCTCCGGCTCCTAGGTCTTCAGGGCAGCTCATTGATACTCTTAGGTTTTGTCGGTAAAGTCACGTAGGTGAGTAATTTTAGCTGTGACGGTCCCACCTGATGACGGAGACTTGTGTTGCCTCCGAAACGTCGTGATTTTTTATTTTATTTTCATTATTACTTTTAGTAATTTTATTTTTTACCTACGTGACTTTACCGAAAAAACCTAAGAGTATGAATTCTTGCAGTCACGAAAGCTTCAAATCTAGAATCAGCTCATTGATCTTGAAGTGGACGACAACTGCCGGTCCCGTTCAGGGGTCTGGCTTTTATACCCAGTTCCTGGCTCACTCCTCCCCTAGCCACTCCTCCCTTCTGGAACCATCTAGAGGGGCTTGGAGTGTGACGTCATCCCCCAGCCCCCCTCTTGGGGGTCTGGGGTCTGCACCTCTGGTCACGAGCTACCCTGGGGGTTACCTTGGCCCAACGGCCCGACTCATCTCCATCAGCCTCCCTTCCGCCCCCTGTTGACCCGGGGCCGTTACTACAGGCTGCGTGTAGTGATAATCGCACACAGCGCTCAACGATGCCGCTACACATGCAGTCATTGGCGTCGAGGTTCAGCTTGAAAGCCCAGGATAACCATGGGTGGTTGCCTGGAATTTAACCCGGGTTCCAGCAGTGTCAGCTAAATGATTGACTCTATTAATTAGTCCCCCAGAGACCACCTGGCTGCCTCACTATCAACACGTATAATTCAACAACTTTACAACCTTGGCAGATGTTCAAAATAAGTGTACATTCACTGACCTTAAAAATCATCACTATCTTTGTTACTCTAAAAAGTGAAATTTAATAAGGCTTTGCATAAATCAATAGAAAATAGAAACATTCTGACTTGGATTTTGCTGAAGAAGCCTAACTAGTTTCAAGCAAAACTTTGTATACAAATTTCTACATTTGTTTGTGAGAATTGTTCTTCAACTTACCGACGCGCTTAAATAATAATAATCGGTGTGCTTAACGCTTGCACACATTACTATTTGTTTGGCTATATAATATGGCCTAACCCAAGAATCAATTATGAATCAGAAAATTGAAAAAATTATAGCATGGCTGATGATGGTGATAAACCAAAAACATATCACAGCAGATACTACAATTCAAGAAGTAGCAGACACACCATGTCGTCCTCATGTAAGATGTCAGCCGGAATCTCTCGGCTGATGATCTTGGAGAAGATCGTCGGTTTGTTGATGCCGTGCTTCTCCCATTCTTGCGCAGCCAACTTTGCCCTGCTCACCTCGTCATGGCCAGGCCCCAATGTAGACAGTCCTACTGCCTATGTCAGACACCATAGACGTTACAAACATAAATCAATTGCAATGAAGCAAATAAAAGATATTTAAACGTCAAACGGTTTAGTTGTCAAGTCATGGGGGGAGGGGGGGTGACCCCACGATTCGGGGTCACGATTCGATTAAATAATCAAACACTGTCAACTGTCGATTTAAAGCTTTCGTGACTGCAGGGATTCATCTTCTTGGTTCTTTCGGTAAAGTCACGTAGAAGGGAAATAATAAAAATAAAACAATCAAATAAAATTCTCACGACGTTTCGGCCACAACACAAATGTGGCCGAAACGTCGTGAGAATTGTATTTTATTATGTTTTATTTTTATTATTTTATTATTTCCCTTTTACGTGACTTTACTGTTTTTAATTCGTAACAATATCCTCCCACTCATGTCAAAGTTCGGTAAATCCATAAAACTATCACGTAAGTTATGATTATTATGGACATGGCCAAAGACTACAGCATATAAATGATTCAGGATCATCCATAATTGTTTGCACTCTGGCCTTGCTACTTTGACAACCAAGCTGTGTTAACAAAAACTTAACTCAGCTATTTAAAATAAACCCATGTTGGAGTCATTCCAACACATTAGAATACACCTGCAGATTTATTTTCTTGGCATGAACTCCCCAGAGATGCCCCCACAATAATCTAAATTCACTTCGTCCACTTAATCAGCACCCACTCTCAACAAATCACTTCTTTCTGCGCTGTGACCTTGTGGGTTATCACGTTTTTCAAGGGCATCCAACCCTCTCGTTTCTATTTATAAGGTTATATATAATCCTATCTCATCCGTCACCTTTACTTTCAACTAAGCAAAAGCCACTGGCCAAAAAGTATGTTATTCACGGGAATTGAAGAAAATGTACAAGTTCAAAGTAAGAAAGGTAACAGCGATCATGAATTTCACAATAAAACTCTTGATTCATTCACACAAAGTACCTGTATTAGTGAATCAGCTGAACAGACCAACGCATCACATGACAATAAGTTACCTGTTGCACCAATTCATTCATTGTATCATACATTTTAAAAACAGTTCTCGACCAAAGGTGAACACACACAAAAATCCCCCTGTAACAGAGACTGTTGGGGCAAGTGGTGTTAGCGAGCACCTGTGAAGGCCAGCAGAGTGGCACACGAGGGGCTGGGTGGCCAGCCACCACGCCCGACCGCCTTTGTTTACTACACACTGCTACACAAGCTAGTTATTTGAGGCTGAGTCGACCTTGGGGGAGGGGGACAGAACCGGTTCAGATAATCGTCACATGGTGTTGACCGTGAGCGGGAATCGAACTCGGGTGGCCAGGTTCGTGGCGCAGCGTAGCACTAACCACTACACCCACCGCTCCCTGATATAACACACAAACTCACACACGTGCAGTGTCACCCCCACACAGTAAAATTTCGATTTAAAGCTTTCGTGACTGCAGGGATTCATATTCTTGGTTCTTTCGGTAAAGTCACGTAGAAGGGAAATAATAAAATATTGTTAAATGTTTATATATTGTTTAATATTATTTTATTATTTACCTTCTACGTGACTTTACCGAAAGAACCAAGAATATGAACCCCACACGGTAATTAACGTGGCACTGCACCTACAACGTGACCTCTCGTGACCTCTCTCCCTGTATTGGACGCACGTGGAAGGGGCGCAAGTTTACAATGTCCCCGTTTCTCTGTGGAGGCGTCATTGGGTGGAAACAACCCGATTTATCCAGCGGGCAGGCATCGGGTTTTTTCTTTAATACAATTAAACCCGATTTTGGGGAATTAAACCCTGGTTTAATGAATACGAAAATCTGATCCAAGGCTTAGGCTGCTTCCTCGTCGGTGTTACTATCGTAGAATGCGGGCAGGTTGGTCTTGATGAACACGAGCTTCTCCACAATCGTGGGCGCCAGTGAGTTCCTTATCTTGGAATGGATGAAGCCCATCGTTGAGAAGTGCTGTTCTGCAATTAGAACCAATTAAACCGGATTTCTCCCAATCTCAGATGATCGGGTTTAATATAAAAAGGACAATTAAACCCCATTGTTAAAAAACCCGACTGTGCCACCCTTGGGTCTACTACTCCTCCTCTGTGGATTGCAGCTATTGACGTGTCTGTACCTCGTGTTTATAGTTGTGTGTGTGTGTGTGCAAGTCTTGTTGGGTCTGTAGGTAAAGACATTTGTTTTCCGGAGCTCAGCCCGGGGAATATCTCCGGCTCAAATCAAGCTCGGCCGAACACTCTGCACAGCATTTCTTTGCCACTGTTCATTCATTCTGTGTGTCTCTCTGTTCACGTGCGTCTCGCCCTCCGTGTCTATCCGTCTCTCCCCGTGTCTCTGTATATCTCTTAAAAGTCCCTGACCACACGCATGTTAGTTACCCGCCACCACCGCCGCCGCCAGCCCGTCTTGACATCTCTGCTCACTGACGACTTCCACTCAGGTCGGGGTGGGTCGAGAGCTCACCCGGCAAACACCCAGAGCGAGGCCGTGGGCTCTTGCTGCCCGGGGTCCCGCGGCCAACACCATGGCCAAGGACACAGCAACTCGACTCGGCACCATCTTCCGCTCCTGTCACGTTCAGCACCGCGGCGTTTCTGGCTCGCGATCGTTTTCCCTACCTAAGATGGCCGCCGGCCGGTAGCTTCCAATCAGTGGGAAGCTACGGCGTCGGCCATCTTACGTGGGGAAGGGGGATTTTTTTTTCAGTAACGTCGTGAAATTTCGATTTAAAACTTTCGTGACTGCAGGGATGAATCTTCTTGGTTCTTTCGGTAAAGTCGCGTAGAAGGGAAGCAATAAAATAATATTTAATAGTAAGAAATTGTATTATTTCCCTTTAAACGGACTAATAAAATAATATTTGTATTATTTTATTATTTCCCTTCTACGTGACTTTACCGAAAGAACCAAGAAAATGAACGCCGTCAAAGTCACGCTTGTGGCCGGTAATCTAAGTTGTCTTGTTGTTGTTTGACTTGCATCCCACTGGGATTTTTGCACACAGCGTTGGTGTACGGTGTTTTTTCTGCAATATTTTGCTGTCTTTTTTTGGATTTTCTGTTTGCACTCAGTCACATATTCACTTTAAGATATATTTTTGTTCATGTTTTTTGTTTGTTGCGGTTGCACCCGATTCAAGAGCCGAATGGCTCACAGGGCTATACCTAATCAATGAACTTGAACGCCGCGTTCGAGATCCCTCCGTAAGATGGCCGCCCTTAGTAGTCGCTAATCAGTGGGAAGCTTACTCCGTTGGCCATCTTACCTAGGGGGGGGTGGGGGCGAAATAATCCCTCCCACCGCCCTTCCCCTGTACATTTTAGAAACCATTTGATTACGTCATCAAAGCCACACTAGCGGTAGGTGCCCCGCGTAATATATATCCCTACCTAAGATGGCCGCCATGAGTAGCTGCCAATCAGTGAGACGCTTACTCCGTCGGCCATCTTACCTAAGGAGAAAAGCCCCGCCCCCTCCTCCCCACCCCCCTGTGAATTTTCGAAAGTATTTAAGTGACGTCATGAGAGGGACATTGGTGGTCGGCACCCCGTGTTCGAAATCCCTGCCTAAGATGGCCGCCATGAGTAGCTACCAATCAGTGGGACGCTTACTCCGTCGGCCATCTTACCTAAGGAGAAAGCCCCGCCCCCTCCTCCCCCCCCCCGTGAATTTTCGAAAGTATTTCAGTGACGTCATGAGAGGGACACTGGTGGTCGGCGCCCCGCGTTCGAGATCACGACCGAAGGTGGCCGCTGAGTTTGATGGGACGGGAATGATAAGATTGCTACGATTATACAACAAAAACACACGCGCACACGAAGCGGGTGTAAGGAATTATAATTTTTGTCGTCGGCGAGCGATTTGAAAGGTAAAAAAGCGAGTTTTATTTATTTATTTACACCCCTTGAAACGCAGCCGAATCAAAGTTCGATTCTGATTCTGTGTAAAACGCATGACGTAATACGTGAGAACCAAACGCGTTTTTTAAATGTATATTTCGGTGAGGATTGATTGCAAAGGGCTCGCCGTAGCACGCGTAGCGGTGGTGCGGTGCTGTTGAAGGCAACGTGGGTCTCGTGAACACGCCGCTCCTGGGCCTCCCCTAGGTCGACTCGGCCTCAAATGAGTACCTGGTGCGGTGTGTAAACATCGCCACGAGGGAGACAAAGGCGGCCGGGCGTGGTAATGGTCACCCACCCCCTCGTGTGCCGTGCCGGCCTTCTAAAGTGCTCGCTAACAGCACTTGCCCCAGCAGTCTGTTGAGACTACACGGGGGATCTTTGTTGTGAGTACAGTACTGCACTGTATTATTCCGATTGCTTACCCAGAAATGCCTCCCCGCATCTCCTAACTATTTCAGGAGGGTTCTTGTCAAGTTTTCACGGTAGGAGGGCGCGGGGAGTGGGATAAATGCTACGTGCTGCATCATTCGTGCACGACAGACACATAATCCCTGGTGGGCAGTGTGGAACCTGTTATTCCTACTTGTGTAAATGCTTCGTACTGCATCATCCCCTGTCAGTAATTTGCTGTTAAATGTGATCATTTGGATATGACGTCGGCACACGATGGCCTACTCCTGCACTGCAGTGAAACTAAGTAATAATACATCACACAGCCCCACGTCAATCCACTCTCTCTCCACGCCTTGTTGATCATGGGGATTGTTTGACCATAATACTTCACGTTGGTCAGTGCGGGTCGGTGGAAGCGGGTAGCATAGATGTGGCAGCATAGAAGTACTGTACCACAATTTGGGTTTTTTGTTCTGCACCTTCTATGGGATCAGCAGCATTTTTGTTAAACACCTTTGGATTCATACTCTTTTTGCTTCTTTCGGTAAAGCCACGCAGGTATAAAACAAACTAAACCACGACGTTCCCATCGCAACACAAGCAATCATCAGGTGGGAAACCCACAGCAATCAACATTTTTGCTGAAGTAAATCCCCACCACCCCCCCTCTGATCCAGGTTCCCACGTGAAGTCGGGAGCCCCAGGACCATCGGGCATGGAGAGGCCTCGGGGGGGCTGCGATTTGACGGCATTCCCATCGAGCCTCTTCCCCACCCACTACAGCACGGGGCCCGCGGCGGACCACCGCCTCACGCCCGGCACCTGGTCCCTGCTGGGGCCCGTGCAGAGGCAGGAGAACCCTGCGGACGAAGCGCGCTCCACGGCACGGCCCTTAGACGAGGTGATACAGGTAGGAGGAACAATGTTCCACACTGCCCACCAGGGATTATTTGTCTGTCTTTGACTGTCTGGCCGTGCATAAATAAATATATAATGTGGACAGCTCTTTGATTGGTGGAGACCTACTGCCGGGTACGGAGAGGGGAGGGGCCTAAGGGAGGAGGGTCAGGGGAGGGGCCTAAGGAAGGGGGGAGTCAGGAGAGGGGCCTGAGGGGGGGGGGGTCAGGGGAGGGGCCTAATGATATGGGGGGTGGTGGTCAAGGGAGGGGCCTAAGGGAGGGGGGGGTCAGGGGAGGGGCCTCAGGATATGGGGGGTCAGGGGAGGGGCCTAGGGATATGGGGGGTGGTCAGGGGAGGGGCCTCAGGATATGGGGGGGGGGGTGGTCAGGGGAGGGGCCTAAGTCAGGGGGGGTAAGGGGAGGGGCCTACGCAAGGGGGAGGGGCCGATAGTTAAGGGGGCTGGCTACCTGGCTGGCTGCCTGGCTACCTAAAGTCAAGTTCTCTTTTATACATACTCTTAGGTTTTTTCAGTAAAGTCACGTAGGTAAAAAATTAATATTTTATACAGGTAGGAACAACAGGTTCCACACTGCCCACCATATTTGTCGTGCACAAATGCACTGTCCAACCAAGTTCCTACCTGCCCACTCCGAAGGAACGTGTTTTTAGAATTGCACGAATTTTTGTTGTTGTTGCATTCCCCCCCCCCCGCCGCACCTGCGATTAGCACGGTTGGCTACGTACGCAGAAGTTAAAAATAGTGGACATACGTCCACTTGTACAAGAGGTCAGTCCTAAGGTGGGTGGGTGGGTGGCTCGGAGAGGTCAGCGCCGAATTGGTACAGCTGAGATCTTGGGTTCGAATCCAGCCAGATGCCTGTTGTTAAACGAAGTTTTCCATTGCAGTGAGTTAATGGTGGTATCAGCTGGGATGCCAGTGACTGCATGTAAAAAACCCACCGTATTAAATGTGTTTCTGCACTTAATTTGGCTACATTGTGTGATTGTTGTGACAGTACAGCCCCTGGCTTAGGTTCTGTGCTCAAGGGCAGATCAATAGCTCATTGTCATAATATCACAACTCCTGAGTTATTTGAGCCTAATCGACAAATAGTTGGTGGTTTCTCTTTGCCTTCCTTAATTTAACACGGTCATCTTGTATGTATCTATGTTGAACTTCTTCCGCACCGTACGGAGCCAACCATGCTCGTCAGGTCATGCTTATGCCACAGTCTATTACAAGACCAGTCTCACTGCACATCCGTTTAATTCAGCACAGCCCCATTGCATATCCTTAAAAAGCAGTAATTCTCCAGTTTCTTTGGAAGAGGTCTGAATATTTAAATGGGGTAAGTCTGTAGTCCACATTATTTAATCGACGTCAGTTCTGACTCGGTTTAATCTTGAAACTAGGCTGAAGGTTGTACGCCTTTCGGCGTCTTCTGGTCTAACACCGTTTTGAGACTAGGCTCAAAAGAAAGCTGTCTCTGGTGTGGACCAATCAGTTTCAAAGACAATGCATATATTTTCAGAGTATGCATTCTGACCACAAGTATTGTGGTTAATGCAGACTTGATTCCTGTAAAAGATTTCAGTTTGGTGTTTTAACATCTTAAACACCTGTTTTGTTGCCATAAAAAAGATTTAATCTCTACATAATATTAGAAGTGGCTCTTTAACGCCTTGCCCTTTCAACCTGGTCAATGTCACTCCGCTTAATTTCACCTCTTTGTGTTCGTTTTGTGCTTTGTCTATATCGGTGTGAGCGCAGTTTCATTCATAGCGATGAATGTTTTTGCAGTCTAGGTAAATTTAAACTGTGGCATTGACAATGTTCTGTCTCCATTGTGAGCAGGGCCAGCAGCCGAGATGGGTCTCTCAGAGACGCCACGGAGTCGAGTGGGAACCCGTAGAGCCAGTGGCGTTGCCGTTCCTGCCTCTGAGTGAAGGTAACACAATGTGGCGGTGGGGGGAGGAGCAACCTAATTTTCAACGGAGCTTGAACCCATTAGGACGCACAGGAACAATTCACCATGCCACTGCACCATTGTTCTCGCCCACCAGCCTTCATCCCTTCCAGCGACATGTTCTGCCTAGTCTACTTATCTTAACGGCTATGATGATGGCTTTATCCCGTGTATGTTCTCTAATACACGTGACCCTCTTATTGTAACTCCAAGCATACACCTCTCCATGCTTCGTTATGTGCTTTTCATATTTTGTTTCGTTCTATTTAAAGCTTTCGTGACTGCAGGAATTCATCCTCTTGGTTCTTTCGGTAAAGTCACGTAGAAGAGAAATAATAAAATAATAAAAATTAAACATAAAATTATCTCACGACGTTTCGGCCACAACGCAAGCAGCCGTCCTCAGGTGGACCAGGTCTGTCGGGGAGACAGCGTCGTGAGAATAATTTTATTATGTTTTATTATTTTATTATTTCTCTTCTACGTGACTTTACCGAAAGAACCAAGAGGTTGTTTCGTTCTATTCATTAAAGGTTCATGTGTAATAGCAAGTAGTACACATTCATTATATATATTTATGAGGACACACACATTGGAAAGCATTGCAGAATCCATTCACGCTTTTCTTCAGTGTTCGTCATGGAAAAATTATGGTTTTTGATTAACGATTGCTTAGCCCGGTTGTTGTGGTCACACTCGAGTTTGTTACACTGTTGATGATACTTTGTGCAAATAATTTGGAAGGTGGAGTAACATTTTTTTGGTAAATTTATGTTATATTAAAAAAGTAACAAAAAATAGTTATTCCTATATCTCCATTGTTTTTATTAAAATTTTAATTAAGGCCATGAGAAGGATCTCTGATGTGTGGGATGTCCGATCTGGCCTCTCACCGCACTGCGTGTGTTGTCTGTCACTGGCAAGTGTGCACGATCCCAGACTTCGAGGATGAGCGGATTGAGGAAATGATGGGCCCAGGAAAGAGAGAGGCCTACCATGCTAAATCGTACAAGTTCATCGAGCAGGTAAATGTTTTTTTAGGAACAGTGTCCCTGATCTTCAGTCTCTCATTACGAATATGTTCAAGAATATATTTTTGATTTGTACCATCTCAATTATTTTGTCTCTCGAAAGTTTTATTTCGTCTCATCTGTACCATTAGCCTCTAGTTTGCCTTATTTATACATAATATATTTATACACAAAACTTGATGCATATGTAAGGCTTGTAAGAGGACTTCTGCCAAAGAGATGGAATGACTAAATCAACTCAACCATAGGATTGGGCATGGCGGATGATTACGAATGTAAACAAATGGATGAATCGCTACATCATTACATGCTTGGTGCTTGCACCCCTCTGCCAAAGCAAGCTCTTTATTTGAATTGTTTGTCAGCATTTCGCGAGTCACCGCTAACTATGTCGTCTCTGCAGATGAGCAACTTTTTCATGGATCATCCCCGTGATGCGTTCCTGTCCATGGGAAAGCTCCTGGAGCCCTATTTCAACTTCAGCAATACCACGGTGAGCCGAGCTGGATCCTTGTGGCACATTTAAACATATATGATAATAGCTCCGATAACAGTTTACCTGCACTGACCAATTTGGTGAGGCATGGTTAAATAACCTCCACGGCGCGCATGATTTGGACTCGGCCCTCATCCAGAAAGAAATTGATAAAAGGGCTGTATATGATTAAAGTTAATATTTACTCATTTAAAATATGGTTCCGTGGCGGTGAACGTGTGTCCTTTTTGTTACAGCCCAAGGCTGGAGAGCAGGTGACTGCTGGACGCATGTTGAGCTACAGGAAGTAGGTCGCAGGTTTATTTTACTGGCTGCAGCTGACTTTTGTAATGATACATCGATCGCTTCATCGATTCAAATCAGTTCTCACAATCATCCAACGACTGATTTTCGTTTTTTGAGTTAAAAGCGGAATGATTAAATTCAATAGTAATATGACGATTATAAAAAAATATTCAAATACAGCAGTCCATGACGAGTAAATAATCACAACCAACCGACCACTGGCTAAAATACTTGATCTCGTTTTCCTGAAGAAGAAAAAAGTTCAATTTGGAATGGGTATTTTTTTTGCATATAATGTTTCTTTATACATTACTCATCCTTATGCAACTTCTAGTTCTCAAGTTACAGGGGGAGGAACGACAATTATTTTTTACCATAAAACAACGGCGGTAAATTTATTTTCATTGGCCACGTGATAAGAAATCAATCATTGCGGCCAACATTGGTCACAGTTTCTGCCGCGTCTGGCGGAGTGCAGGGAGAAGAAGCGGGAGAAGATCGCTCACCTCCTGGGCGACGCGCTCTGGGAGGTGCCCCACCACGTCCTGGCTGACTGCCTCCGCGAGGAGCTTCGGGAGCGCCGGGCACGGGAGCGTTTCGATGCAGCGTGCACGGGCGGTTGCCTCCACTACCACCCGCCGTTGGGGGCTCGCACGCACGGGCTCCTCATTTACCCATCGGGCAGCTGCATGGACACCCTCTGTATCCTGAGTGCAAGCGTTCTCTGTTCATTCGGCCTCGAGTGTTCGTCGCTTGGCGATCAAACAACAGTTTTTTTTTATCTCGGAGCTGAAATAAGCCAAATGAAGTGGAACAAACGCATTGTGGGGGTTATGTGTGCACATTTGCGGACTGGACTGAGACTCACCGACTCGCTACACGTGAGAAGTCGGTTTAACCATGATTGGCTAAAACCCAAATTCGAACCCACCATCTATCTTAGCAGCGACGGTTCGGTGCACTGCCAAGGTATGAGCCACCCAGTCACCTCACTCGTTGGATTTTCATCACCCTATTCTATCTGCCAAAACAGCATGTCACGTCATGGAGTGGCTCATATACTTTTAGTATTATTTTAATACGTTTATTCAAAACTAGACGAGGGCTAAATCTTGACTTCAAGCTTTCGTGACTGCAGGAATTCATACTCTTTTGGTCGTTCGGTAAAGTCGCTTATATAGAAAAATAATAAAAAATCACGACGTTTCGATCGCAACACAAGCAATCGTCTTCAGATGAAAACCTATATAACCTCTTGCTGCAGCAGCTCTTCCGCTATATTTCGCCTGCCTCAGCAGTTCTCCCGCTGTATTTTTTCACCTAAAGACGATTGCTTGTGTTGCGATCGAAACGTCGTGAATTTTTTTTTATTATTTTTCGATCTACGTGACTTTACCGAAAGACCCAAAGAGTTGCGACAAGGGCTATTTCATGATCAGTAAAAAGTGTCCAGCTCAGTGCATGGGGTTGGAACAGGTAAAAAGCTAAACAGGTTAACATTGGGTGCTCCTTGCACCAATTTATTACCTTCATCGGAGTAGAGACTGGTCTATCTGACTTCATAACCATTATTTAAATGGGGTTTCTGGTTTATCAGAGCAGCAACCACACCTTTTGATGAGTTACACATGCAGAACCTATCTGAGAGAGCCCTGGCATGAGCTGTAGATCAGGTGAAGGAGCAACGTAAAACCTTTAAATGCTGTTTCAGACGATGGCTGGATGCATCTCGACTGCAGATAAAATAAAACTATACACGTAGGCATAATATTTATTTATTTTATACCTACGTGACTTTACCGAAAGAACCAAGGAGTATGGATTCCTGCAGTCACGAAAGCTTCAAATCAAGATTAAAAAAGAACTGCCAAATGTCAGGCCGGGACCGAACCTAGTTTGGTTTTTTGAGGGCAGCTCTTCTGTTTCCCCAGCGCTCACAGACATTTAACAATCAATGGTCAATATCTTGAAAGCCACGTTTGAATGTTTACATTTCTAAATATGCTGCTCAATAACAGTACGATCTGTTAAAAATCCCTTAATTTCCTGGTTCTCCAGCATTTCAGACGATTGCGCAGAAGTGCGAGGGGAAAGCATGTCGATCGTCTTGCATCAAGACGCTAAAACCGTCCGTGAAGTTCCATCTCGCAGGAGGCATTCGTCAGATCAGTACCAGTTCTATTCGACAAGAAGGTGAGACCTACATTTTACTTTCGTCACGATTCATGTGCGGCGGTTTTCAAGTCGCGCAACGGCATCGATGATAATTGCGACCGTGGTAAACGTGGAACTGAGCTTAATGAAAATACAGTAAAACCTTGGATTGCGAGTAACTTGGTCTGCGAGTGTTTTGCAAGACGAGCAAATTTTTTAAATATTAATTTGATAAACGAGCGAGGTCTTGCAATACGAGTAGTACGTGTATACACTTTGTCTGCCGAGCGTCACGTGATCACAACTGATATACGAGTGCTTTGGATTACAAACACGTTTCCGGAACAAATTATGCTCGCAATCCAAGGTTTTACTATAATACTATATTTACAATTGGGTGACAGCGTGTTGACAATACATGTCTCGTCAAGGGAAGGGAGACCTGGGTAAAACAGAATTAGAATCTTTATTTTGACTGGAGGAATCTGATGGGCTATGAAGTTCTTTTTCACAGATGTTTAGCATGGGCGGGTCAGCAAAAAATAGAGGCATACAAATAGTAATCGGAAATACAGCAGTCTTCAAACTTTCTAGTGTACACGCACTGCTCGTGCAACACAATCCTAATGCAATTCAAATGCAAGTGGGGTCCCGCGATGCCTATATGTGACCCTATCTCAAATGATGTTGAAATGAGGTGAGGGAGGAAGGGGGGGTGCAAGTATTTTGCGAACATTTGAAGAGCGATTTTCTTTTGACAGCAAGCAGGGACTAAGGAGTAGGATACAATGCAATGTGGATTTATGTCGGGGTCTAAATGTGACCGCAGCTCGAGATGCTGTCCAGAAAAGTGGGCGAGAGGCAGTCGCAGGTGAAGGGAAAGCGGCAAGATGTGAGGCGTAGGCAGCCACAAGCCAGAGAGGCAAAGGAGACGGCGTAATCATTAGGATCGTAACTACTCGCCTCCATTGATTTGATTAATTGTCACAAAGGTTATTATTAAATTGAATATGTTGTAACTGGCGTTTTTAGTTTGCAGGGGTGGCTCGGTGAATCGCATGAGCCCATTGCCTGCGGTGATTGTGAATCAAAAACACTGAGTTCTTAAACGCAATTTTCTGCATAATGTTGCGTGAACCTAAGAATTTAGATGAATGACTCGACACCTTACGACTCCCGTGCTCAAGGTGAGAGTGAAAACGCTCCTTAGAGCGAGAGAGAGATGAGGACGGCCTTCAGTCGCGACTTCAATAGGGGAAGAGTCTTGGCAGTGGGACTGTAGGGTTGCCACCTGTCCTGGTTATCACAGCATCGTCCTTTATTTTTTAGGTAGCTGTTGTCCTGGGAAATCTGTCGGTCTTCTCTGGATGTTAGAAGGTTTCCTTTGGATAATAATACACTCCTCAAGATTCTTAATTCCGTGACGTTTCCTTTTTTTACCTCAAAGAGTAATGGACAGACAGAGCGAGAACAGAATGCCTGACAGCGGTAACAGTAACTGAGAGGGATCAACCTCTCATTGACTTTGGAGGTGGGGTGGTGGGGATGATTTCCCGTGTGCAGTTTTTGTTGGTGTTCGGTCGGATTACTTCTGCGGGCTCTGGAAGACCGGTGGCGAGCATCCCTTGCGGCCGCAGTGCGTCGAGGTGGTGCAGCTGGAGGAACCCGCAACATGTTTGACCGTCAGGTCAGGCAAGGGCTCTTGGTTAGGGTATCACGATTCACACCCCCTCCCCAATCCCTCCCCCAAGTCACGACTCAAGAATCGATTTGTTTGTTTCATTTGTACTACTACCTCGTTCGGATTTTCCATCTCCCGATGTTGTCCATATCATTTGCTCTTTTTTTGTTTGTACTTTGCCTGTTTTCGTACGTTTTGCCTGTGTCAACTTGAACTGTTGTTCAGTTTGCTCTGGCTATTTTTGTACTGTCTCGTTTGTACCAAACCAGAGGTCAATTATAATTACAATTCCAGAAGCATTAACTGACATGACAGTGAAATTAACGAACACTACGGTGGCATTGTTAGACAAATAATTTACAATTGCATTTAATTACACAATTACAATTGGTTCAGACAGTTGGATGACCCCGTCTTGACTGTGACCATGAGTCCCAGACCATGGAATGTATTTTATCGACCTGCCAATTGAGATCTATTGTAGGAGGCACTACATTTCTCCACTTGGCATCTCGGGAAACCACCGAGTGGATCGCCAAACTAGACGTCCCATTATAAGCTTCTCCCATTATACGAAAGAAAAAGATTACAATTGTCATTAACCCCAGGTCTGGTTTGTCCTGGCTTTCTCATTTGTATTTTCTGTCGCGTTTTGTGCAATTTGTTAAATTATCCCAAATGTATATTCGTGTGTAATTTGCACAAATCTTAACTAATCAATTCTTACGCGCACGATTTGATGCCTGTATAATGAGCACAGGGATCTATTTTGACCGATGTGCCTTACTATTACCTCTTTTACACCTCTATGCATCGGTGAATAACGATCGCATTGTGCCTGCTTGGTTTGCAGCCCCCACATCCCCGGCGAGCTGCTGGTTGCCAGCGAAAGTGGCAGCGTCTACCTCTGGGTCGCGCAAAAAAGGCAAGAGAAATAGCGAATTCACTTTGGTGATTGCTTCAAAAGCCGGAAGGATACAGTTTTTCTCTTTTTGTCGAGTAGCATCTAAATGAACGTGTAATTATAATAAAAAATTATCACTTATTATTGATAATCCACTTATCAGTTTACCGCCAGCATTTGAGCGTCCTCAAGGCATTTCTTTACGATGTGCTCGAGATAAGGTTCATTGAGTAATTTACCCTCCTGTTATGACACTTTCTGAGTTAACGTTTATTTTAACAGCCAAAATGATTCGTAATATATGTTCCCGTTAGACCACAATGCTCTGACCAAATCTGTGTCGTTAAGATCCTATACCACCTGACATGGCCAAATTATTTAACTGTCACGTGTACGAGCATTTGACATTATTGCTTGAGCTCACAAGTCAGATTCTGACTTCCTGTATTGTTTTTCTAACTTACTGGATATTGTCCTGATGATATTTGATGTAGTTTCAAATTAAGTGACGATCTTGTGAGGATTGTTTATCAACTTACCGGCGAGCGAGCTGAAACAAGAACAATTGGCGCGTTAAACACTTGCACACGTGACCGTTTGTTTGGCTGTGTGTGGTGGTGGAGGTTCTTGACGATAGATTTTCTCAATACAATTTGACGCCTCGAATGCCGGGGTTGTATGCAGCTTATCCGGAACGCCGTGTGTGATTGTGCGATTGGCAACTGTGTCCGCTGTCGGGCGTCTCGCTCGGCGGCAGCCTGCAGTGCGTGCGGAGGGAGACCAGGAACCTGCATTTTGATGCCGAATCTCGGTGGCGCTGGTGCCACTTCACCGCTCACCCGCGCGTCATCACGTACGCCGACCGCACGGGCGTGGATGCCACTGACGCCAGGGTCAGCATGGGGTTTTATTAATGTTTTTTTTCCCCTCCCAATTATATTGCAGTTGTGCTGTCAGCATCATGTCTATGCAGATGTAGAGATTTTCACCAATTAGAACTCTCGTGGCTGGTAATTAACTTCTCTCAGTGATTCTTCCGCCCATGTTGAAAACTTGGTCTACCAGACTTTACTGTATCATCTCATCCATACGATGTTCAACCACTACACTGCAGGTCAATACACTTGTCTGTTTGCCTCTTCCCTCGTACCACTCCACTTGGAATTCCCTCCCATCCTCTCCTTTTCCCAAGTTCTTAATAATCTTCCTCAATTAAATTATTTTATATTATTCATTCAATAGCCTTGTCTGTAGCCATTTGATATTTTGGGCCTGTGCTCAGTAACCATGATAAAAAAAAGACCAACCACTTGGTGCCAGAAAATATCCCCAGAAGATGACCTCACATAACTATTTCTAAAGTCACTTGAGTAGATCTCTATCTACCACTTAGGCTTGATTTAACAAAGCCAAATGAAAATCTAATCGAATATGACGGATGTTTTCTCATTGGTGACTGGACATCTGAATTCCAAACAAAACAAAAGTACAATTTTGATTTACGTATTATCTCACCGTATCTCAAAACGCTGATTTAATCATCGTTGGTTGTCTGGGTTCACACCGAGGATCTCAGCAGTACTGGCTCAAGGCCCTGATACAGTACAATCCCAGTCAGCCACTTGGCCACACAACAGTGATTTCTCAACCCTTGTGTTCATTATGACTGCTGTGCGCGTGGATTTAAAAGGCGGTTTTGGAATAACCTATTTTTGTTTTGTTTTTGTTCACGGTGCCGCAACGGCAGATCGGTCGAGCGGGAAACACATCGCTCTTCCGGATCGGCGAGGCGGCCGGATGCCAGCAGGGAGAACGAGTTGTGCTCAGCCAGCACCTGGACCCGGTTAACCCTTTCCACTTCTTGGTGACGACGCAGGTTAGAGGCATGCGCCCCGGTCAAGCCGTGCAGGTGCTCTTCACCTGGCCAACCGGAGGGGCCCTGCACCAGGCTGCGAAGAGTGGGGAAATTGAAAAGGGGGGTAGGAGGGGGAGATTTCCATTTTATTCCTTACACCGGGGCCTATTCACACCACGACACACCACTGAACCAGCCATTCGCTTTACTGTGACATTCAGTTAAATAATACCAACATGCAGTAATTTGACGAGGCGTGATTTTGACGTCATAAAATATCTTTTCAAATTGCATAACGTTACAGTTTGGACAATGTTCAAACTTACATAATGTTTTGCCCTTCAATGAAGAAGGGTTAAATTGCAAAGGCCATTCTCCATAGAACGGCATTTCTGGTATGAATAAGGGCCATGGCCCAAAACGTTGCTTATCATATTCCCTTCCTACTGCGCATCCATGCCACTGCCGTCGGCAGTACTCGGCGTACCTCATGGACGAGCGGCTGCCCATTCTGCCCATGCTGCGCTGGAACCACGGCCTCACCTATCCTCCCCTGTTCGTGCACGCCACGCATGGGCCCGGCGGCGGCATCAGCAGCAGCGCCGCCTCCGGGGGTCAGCGCCAACACCTGCTCCTGGGCACGCAGAGGAAGCACGAGCTGCTGATGCTGTCGTACACGGGTAAACCCAGCACGCACGGCCCACCCTGCGCTTGTGTTTAGAGTGTCTCACGTGTCTGTGTATGTAAATGTGGGAAGTGGTGGCCTAGCGGTTTGTGCACCGCGCTAATCACCGAGCGACCTCGGATCGATCCCAGGCCACGGCAAACGTCGTTGGCGTGTGCAATCTGAACCGATTATTCGGCCTTCAATGATTAAAGTGATTGATGCAGTGTGTAAACTTGAAATCTGAGAACGTAAAGATGGTTGAGTGTGGTGCCAGCCAAGCCAGCCTCTGGTTCGCTGTGCTGGTTTAAACGAGGCCCTTGCAAACAGAATTTGCTCCAACACCCTACAGAGGTGACACGTGGGGTCTATCTAACTGTGAGTCTGCAAGTGAGAGCTATCCACTTACTCGGTGCTTGGATGAGCAAACGCCACCATCTATTAAACAGGTGCTGTACGCTACTGCGAGGCAACGTTGTGGGTCGCAGAGGGAAATACAGCAAAATGCATAGTTATACTTTACAATGCTCGCACACCATTACTGCCCACCTCTACCAACCTGCGCTGATCAGCGTGAAGTATGCTCAAAATAACCCTTACGACCCACACGGCATGGGCATGCCCTCATCCAGTAGTTGATAGACATAAGGCTATGCATGTGCATACAACATTAATATGCTCATACATTGCTTACGTACTGTAGGGATGGGCTCCCGATTTTCGTATGAATCTAAGATCCAAAAGTTGTGCGTACATTCAAAATGTTGCACGACCTGAAAAAGATAATTGTGTTCAATTTATATGAATGTATAAGACGTCACCGGAAGTGATTTTTCACTTGCATGACGTTACATCTGTGCAGGTGACGTCACTTTGGCTTGCATACAACTGCGTTAAAGGGATTGCTTAATGGAACAGATCTGACGAAAGTTCGCCGATTGTTGCAAAGGTTCAATTCCAGCGGCTGCGTTAACCATATAGATAAGCACCATCTCCACATTGGACGTTTATGAACTCGTGGCGTCGTTCGCAAGAGTGGGCTATTGTGTGCTGGCATCATAGCCCAAACTTGCCCACGACATTACTCGGTTGGAATCTACACAGCAATGACCACCCCCTGCTGCGAACACTTGCTAGTACCCTCATGAGACTTGGTTAGGCTTTCCTGAGTAAACGAGCGTACTTGTCCTTGAAAGTTTGAAACCCATCCCTAAGATATGGTCTTTATTGCTGCGTGTTTGCAGGTGGTGGTCAAGAGCCGTGCTGCACCACCTCGCTGCCTCGCAAGCTGGCGTGTGCAAGCGAGTGGCTGGGTCACGTCCGACCACTGCTGCCTCATCAGAAGCACCTGCTGCGGCGCAGACTGGAATCCGCAGGCGCAGGTCTGTGTGTGCATGTGTACAACCCATAACACCTGGGTGTGTCCCATGTCCTCTTGCCAGCAAGCCTTCGACTGCACATGGCCTCACAGTGCACCGGGCCTAGAACAAGCGCCGTGGTAACGTCATCGCCACTTCGTGGCGAATGGTGTTGTGCACACGTGTGTGTGGATACACGTGTTTGTGTGTGCTATGTAGATGGGAGCTGATGGAGCGTAGTGGTTAGTGCATTGCGATGAGTTTGATTCCCAGTTCCGGCTAACATCGGTGGCAAGTGATTTCTGAACCAGTCCTGGGTTCCCTGCAATTTCACCAGCCGCACTCAAATTGAGATGTGAATTGCAGTCACACATGACTGACACAGCACGGGGAGGCCTTCATCTACCAATGGATTAGCAAAGGGCTGAAAATTGATTAATCTTTTTGTTTTACTAAACCTTAAATACTATTACCAAATCAACTGGGAACGCACCTGATCGCATCAGACTTCGGAAACCTAGCAAGATTAGCACGGTTGGCTACGTACGGTGCGAAAGAAGTTCAACATAAACAGAGGGTTGAGCTTGAATGAGTGACCACTATGCTTGACAGGTGCTATAGGCTATTTTGGGGCTAAATTGTGAGAAGCAGAAAGTAGTAGAGCAAAATCCATAGTTGTGCTATACTATCTTCCCATGTCTTTGCTCCCCTACACTAACCAGTGTGGCGATGTATGTTCAAATACGCCATATCACCCGCATGCCAATGGGAAGCCCTTCTGGATTGACAAAGTGCTGCACATTGCACCTTTAAAAGGCGGCTGCATACGAGCGAAACCTCGCGTGTGGGTGTGTCCTCTCACAGGGGTGACGGCCATTCCACACCAGGGCAGCTGTGGCCGCCTCACGGTGCTGCAGCTCTCCGTAGCCGGCGACATTTTCTACCAAACGCTGCGGCCTGGCGCCCCTGGAACCGCGAATGCTGTCGACTGCGCGACCGAGCCGCCCTCCGCGACCCACGATGCCGCCCCACCTGACCCAGCGATGCTGGCCGCGCCTCGCAGGGTGATTCCGCCACCGAGCGGCGGCACGAAGGCGCTCGATTCGAGGGGCGACGGGAGTGGCTCAGCGGTCGCGGACAGTGAGACAGGAGGAGGAGGAGGAGAAGTTGCCTCTAATGGAAGTGCGGATCTTCTCAGATCAGAAGTGAAGCGCTGCCAGCGGTGGGCTTCCAGCTTCCTGTTGCTGCAGCGGCGGGCGGCAGGCAAATTGCCGCCGTACCGAGCCAGACGCCAACAAGGCAGGCTCTTCCGTCACCTGCATCGCCGGATGCCCGAGAAGCCGTCTGACTTTAGCAGCATCGTCGTCGGCCTGGTGCGAGCCAAGCTGCGAGCCGGAGTGGCGACGGGCGCGGAGGTCGCTGTCACGGCGGGCAGGGGCAGCACCGAGGAGGAGAGGAGCGAGGAGGTGCAGGCGCAGCCTTCGCTGCAGCTGCTGCTGCCTGTGCTGTCACTGACACAGGAAGAGGAACCGGTATTATTTCCCAAGCCCGTGGCGGACGCGGAGGCGAAGGACGAGCTGAGCAGCCGCCTGACGGCAGCATGGCACGGTGAGTGGCACGAGTGGTGGGAGGAGAAGCTGGGCATAGCGTCCAAGAGGAGGGCGCGGGACGCTCGACAGCGCCGGAGGGAGAAAAAGTTGCGCGGCCGACGCCACCGACGCCTCCAGGGCAGCTACTCGTCCACCGCATCCGAATGGGCGACCGAATTCTCTGAGACCATGAGCTGCTCTGGGAAGAGCTTTACTTCAGTTGACCTTTTCTCTCAGTCATCCCACCCGGATGAGGTAGAATTGGATCTTGACATCTTGCAAGGTCATTACACAGATGACACCCGAGCCTCAGCTGCAATGGGTATCGACTCTTCGCAACACTCTCTCTTTGAGGATGACGCACATGTAGCTGCCTCCAGCTCAAGACCCTCCTTGTTGGGGGCATCGAGCCAAAACCTTCCCAGCTCCATCTTGAAGAAAAACCCTTCCAAGACGACACAGCAATCGCTCGCAGAGACAGCAGTGCAGGACAAAGTAGAACTGTGGACGAACACGTTCTTTGGCGAGAGCCTGTCGCAGATGTCCCAGTCATCCACACCCTTCTTCTCCCGTGCCAGGCGGCCGGCTCAAGCCTCTGACCTGCAGAGGCAGTCCCCAAAGCCGTTGTCGCCTTCGCTCAGTTCCCTCCAGAAAGAGCCCTCCTCGTCCCAGCACCTCGGACCAGCGCAGGGCAACGGCCTGCAGCGGGAGGAAGAGCCCTCGAGTGGCGTGGACGGCCGATCCCAGGAGGCTGATGCCGCTGTCTCGCGGCCGGCCAGCAGCATGCTACTGCCGTTTGGCTTCTCGTCCCAGCCGTCAGGAGGCTCCCCCATGCCGTGGATCGTCACCTCCAACAGCCAGGGCAGCTCCTCGACGCCGCTGCCACAGAGGCCGTCCTCGCAGTCGGCGGCCTCCCTGCTCAAGAAGAAGAAGAGGTTCACTATGGGCTTCTGAAAGCACGGCCAGACCAACGCGACGTCGTGCACCGTCGGCGCGCGAGACCATTTAAGGCGTGATGTCACTTTTGTGAACGTGTAGTTTTAATGTAAATTCGTTTCACCAAAATCACGTTAAATTCGCTCGCGCGTTAATGGTGTGCATTACGGCCTACACGATCGTTGGTTAAACCAGAGTTGAAAATGTTACACCTAACACCGTCTAACTCAATAAATCAATTATGAATCCGAGCCTTCTGATGTCAGTTAATTACCTGCATCTGTTTCCTGATGTCAGATGCATTCTGGGTCATGGTAGATGCATGTACATATGTTATTTAATAATTAAAATTATGTTTATACTAAAAATAAAGCGTGCATTTCTGAACCACATCGTGTGTTTACAGAGTTTCCGTTGAGATGTTATTATGTTACCCCTAAGGATGAGGATTATCCTTTATTAGGCACTTGAATGCCTCCATCAATCACAGCGCCTCACCAAACACATACCAGGAAACTATGAAGTAACCATGGCAGAGGTTAAACGATGGATATCATACATAGCCTGCAAATTTCTGAGTAACCCAAAGATTATCTTTTGGCCTTTGAAAGCAGGCACAAGGGGGGAAGATACTAGGAATTTCATAGAAATTAACTTGAAAGATCTAAAGAGAACGTGCTGGGGGGGGGGGGGAAACGTTCTAGATGTAATCGAGAAGATGAGTTTGCAGTTGGTGGGGCATCTGTAGATGGGGACAGGTTACAGGGTCAGGCATTGGAGTGGCACCCAAGGACTCAACGACCAAGGGGGAAGACCTCGAGCCCGGACAATCGCGAAGGTGCGATCGTGGAGGGCCGTCTGCGAAAGAGCGGTGTCGACTTTGCAACGGCTCAAGGGTCTGGTGGAAGGAGAGTAATGTGTGGCGAGTATCGCCAGCACTGGCGGTGATGGTCCCTGCAACTTCAAGTGTGGGTGGGTGGCTTCTCTGAGGGCAAATGTGCCAATGTCGTCCTCGCAGTGCGCGTTTGTGTCCATAAGAGGACGCGCACGACGCACCGTGGGGCCCCCACTCCACGTCGAACATCGGCCCCAGACAAACAAGCCCCCCCTCCCGAAGGATTTTAAACCTCTCAAGGGTTTACCCCAGCTCGGCTTACATGCTTATCGTCTGGGATTGTGCACCGCAAATTCCACTTGATATGGATTATGAATGCATAGAAGGGAATGCGTTTTTTTAGAAATACATTCATAGCTCAGCCCTAGGCTTCACAAATGATGGTGTGATATTAACAAACGAGATGATGCGCGTGACATGTCACGTTTTGTATTCCTCCGGCCTTCCCCGATGTTACCTGCCTTCCCTCCCACACGTTTTCCCCCACTTGTTACCATAATTACTGATTTTACAAAACTGTTCTTAACGCTAAAACGTTTTAAGAATGGGAAGAAAGTTGACAAAACACCAAAAGATGATTTTGGTGGATGATCCTGTCAAGTGTTTTTAGAGCAACGTCTAAGCTCATACTGTGTATATATGCTTCATCATTGATACCATAGCTCCCCGTTTCATTCAATTAGAATAAGCCCTTGCTCAACTCCAGGATGAAAATGTCTCGTGACCGACTTGCAGACGAACAGTTTGAAGTTCATGACGTGAATGGCTTTGCGAGCCGTGCGGCGTCCACCGTGGGAACACGCTGATGACCAATATACTCCGACAGAGTGCTGATGCAGCCACTGCAAGCCTCCCACGTCACGTGTTAAACCAATAGTAACTCATTATTAGGTTGAGCAACATCTCTGTAGTGAATTAAACGCTTTTTATGTGTCGGTTTATATGGCTGGAGCATCCAGTCCGCCCAACTTTGGCGTGCGTGAGTGTGCGAGCAATTGCAGCTCACTCATGAGCACTATGAGAATGAAAATCTGTCCAAGATTGTCATTTCTGTATGATTTCCATTGGGTCCTACATGGCATCGAAGGCTCGTTGTCTCTACAAGTGCCGTATTTAAATAAGCTTTTAAGCACGCGTTCCTCTACCACTGTAATACTTGACACGGATGTAACGTTTTTTAAATTAATTTTCTTATTTAGTTTCTCATGCAGGGAGATACTTATTCTCGGTAAGCTTTATGATATGAACATCGCGGTATTCTGATCTGCTTCATCCACACGTTCTCCACCCATAAGCTTTATGCCACCGAATCGAAATTTACACGTTTCTATGTTGTATATACTGTATCAAAACACTATCCTGCGGAGGGAGCTGGTAGGAACGTTGGGTTGCTCGGTCAATGGCCAGGGTCAACGGCGGCGTGGTGTATTCCGCAAATATGCCCGACTGTGAGGGCGGGCACAAGCCGGCGTGAGTAGGTTAAACGTTGAGTTTTATAAGGGCACCACGGGGTGACCAGCCCCTCCCCACCCAGCCCCACCCCTCCCACCCCCACCCAGCCCCTCCCCACCCTCCCCTCTCCACCCAGCCCCACCCCTCCCATTTTTGGATTCACGACGGACGGACATAATAATCCCCTGTGGGCTGGTGGTTCTTACCAGTAAAAGGAGGCCCACTGCACCGTGACAGTGCCACGTAATATGGTGGCGTGCGTGGCAAGTGACGGACACGGAGACGCGTCATTTAGAAATGCATCTTTGCGCTTGTTGGTTTCGGAAAACAACCGGTTCATATAGCGATGGTTGGTCGTCGAAATCTTCCCAAGGCATACCAGACCATGTGTTTGTTTTATTTTTACATTTATTTGTTAAGGGTAAAAGGCCCGAACAAGCCCAGCTGAAATGTCATCCTCGCTGTGCACATTGTAGCAAAGATCGTACGCGCGTTGGGAGAAACGTCTCGGGTCGTCCCGCAGAGCTGCCTTGTTCATTCTCGTGAATCTAAACCAGGTTTGGATTTGTTCTCCGGGGGCGTGTGGCTCTTCTTGGTGTGGTCAAAGAGGCCCACGTGAGCATGGATTTGGCTATGGGGATTCGGAAATCTCATCCTTGGCCACCTTGGCAAAGGTCGAGGTCATTTTAAGGGAGATGCGGTTCAAACAGCAATATCGTACCCTTGTGATAAAACGTCAATATCAGCCTTACACAAAACATTAAATTAAAATGCGCTCAACAATAATTATATACTAAACTAGCCTTTTTGCCCGTGTATTGCAGTAAATCTGAAACTTGCAAGCGAAAAGCAGACCACGACGTGATATATTCATTGCATCCATGCGTGTGCAATTTGTAAGGGCGCGGTGACACAGACCTATTTCATTTTAAGGTTATAATCCCTTGTTCATCACGACGTCCTTTTTACTTCAATGTCTCAACAGCGTGACGGAGATCACGTGACGTGGGGGTTCTGCCTTTGTAGTGAGGGTTGTAAGTTGACGCCGAGGAGGGGGGGAGGAGGCGCCTCGCCCCTCACCCCCATGTGGAGTGACGTCACCCGCTAATTATTATTAATGAGTGGGGGGTGTCCATTTGGAGGACGTCACCTGTTAACGATTATTAATGAGGGGGACTGTTCGATGTGGAGTGACGTCACCTGCTCATGCTTATTAATGAGGGGGACTGGTCGACGTGGAGTGACGTCACGAGCGTTGCACACAGACATGTTTGGCTCGTAGTAGGGAATAATAATGGTCGGGGGGGGTCCATGTGGAGGACGTCACCTGCTCATGATTATTAATGAGGGGGGCTGGTCGATGTAGAGTGACGTCACCTAAAGGACGGATATTCCTGGGTGATTATAGTTGGCATTTTGATGGTATTTAAAAATGTGTTTTTGGCAGAGGTGATAGGATGACTCCAAGGCCAGAGCGTTACATCAAGTATCACTGTGATCCAGGGTTCAAATCTGGGCAGCCGCCCGTAATTAAACCGAATTGATAATCTCACCCCATGCAGTCACCAATGGCCACACAAAAACATGTTGAACTTGGGGCTTGCACTTTATTTAACTTAATTCCAGCTCTGTCATACAACAATCCCGTTGCAGAGCATATGGGAAACTGCACCCCTCTCCCCATACTTTGTAAAGGACACAAAAGGCGACAGGAAGGATTTTTTTAAAACGTTCTGTGAAAAATCTCTGCCAGCATTCCATTATCCGTGCGATGCACGAAGGCTATAGCACAATTGGAATACATCGAGCGTGTAAGTAATAAATGCTTTGCTTAGATTTTGGAACCCAGCAGGATATCTTTCAAAAACGTAGTTAGCAAACACATTTCTATATATAGTGTGATTGAGCCATACTTGTATTTTGTTTTCGGCCACGGATTAGTTTTATGCCAAAATTATTGTCCTGCACCCTCTACCACCACCACCACCACCACCCAACACTATTGTCACGTTTACAAAGCTATTGGTTGTACGTGGCCAATACGCCGATCAAATTCTGACCAGTCAACCTCACCACCGTTGGCTTAAGAGGCGGAATGGCTGAATTTAACAGCAACATACGATGAATTTAGTGGCTGCCCTATGGACAAGACTCATCCACACCACGAATGTGAAGTATATATCAATAAGCATTCCTTAATACTCAAGAGGAGTTTGGTGAGGTGCATTCAAAGGCCTCTTTAATTCTCAGTGGATGAGGCTTTTGTTGGCACTCTAAGGCAAGCGCATTACGTCCAGATAATGCTCTAATCAGCTAATTAAACATTACGGCCTCACCGCAATCACGGCCACGTGGACCTTATCCGGGAGAGTGCAACAACACAAGGGGTCACCCCTCCACCCCACCCCTGTCATTGTCGTCATCCTCCGTAATCACTACCGTCACCGCTGTCGACCTTGCCGTCAACATTGACATTAGTGTCATTATCACCACAATCACCAGCAACGTCACCGACAAAATCATCTTCACTGCTCCCGTCGTCGTCATCGTCACCATCATTGCCACTGCGATCGCCACCGCCACCATTCTTACCATTCGGTCCTAGTTCGATGCAAAATTCTATGATACGTAACATCATGAAACACGTGTTACTTTTATTGTTACTCATCCTCCACGACGACGACGACGCTACTTATTATTTATTTATGAAGCCCACACGTTTAATGAATCATGCACCGCGCCCACGCTGCCGATGACATCCCATCATTGCCGGGCGGTGGTGGCTATGCACGTGGCCTTTTATCCAGCAGTGCGGAGGCGGCAAGGCTCGGTGGCTCTCACACACACAGAGCCGGTCCTGCCACTAAGCGACCCTTGCAATTGCAAAGGGCCCCGTGGCCAGCAGAGGGCCCCCTAGAGTCACTGCTAGCTAGTGGGTGAAAAGAATCATACATCAAAGGGGCCTCCAACCAAATTTTGCTTAGGGCCCCCAAAGGTCTAGGGCCGGCTCTGCACACACACACACGTGGCGAAAC